AAAGCTTTGAATAGTAATGATTGTGGTGAAAATCCGCCGCTCGATGGTATCCGCCGCTCGGTGGTTGATTACGTTATGTGCACCGCCCCTCTTACGTGATAGACATCCGTACAGTAAAATGGGTATTGATTTCTGCTTCGTACTGTAGTCAATCTCGCATTGCGTCATCACCGCCCTGCGACTCGGTCGCCCATAAATTGAGGCCTCGCCCGACCCTCTCCAAACTCCCGGTTTTTTGGCTCGGCCAGTTTCAGCCCTCGTATAGATGATTAGATAGGTTTGATCTGTAGAAGACTTCGAGTTAGATCACGACCCCCTGGACGCTCCCTTGACTTGTGCTGACTTACCTTGAAATGAAGAGAGATAAGGGAGAAAATGAGGGCCTTCAGATCTTGCACCAGATAGTAGAACACCCGGAGACCTTCGGGATCTGACGATTCGGTCACATCCACCAACGAGCCGATTTTCGCGGTCTGCACAGTGTCAGAGTTAGGAGAAAATCACGGTATTCCAGGTCCGGACCAGCGACGCACCTCGAACGAGATATGTTCATTTCCAATTCGGATTTCCAGCTCCTGTCGTCCGTCCTTGTTCTTCTGAGGCCATTTGGAGTCATCCTCCCTGGAGTCACGTCAGCGTCCTCCCCTCTACTCGTTCAAGGTCTCGTAGATTCCATACTTTACGATCTCGCTGTCTTTGATGATGCGCTTGACCTCCTGGATCATCGCCGCACTCACGCACACTGTATTCCGATCATCAGAGGCCATCCATTGTGACGGGTCTTGTCGATCGCAGGTACTTACTCTCCTTGCGGATCAGAGAGTCATTGCGGTAGTTGGAGTTGTTCGCGTATCGGACCGCGGCACTACGGCCATCGCCTAGGGTACGGAAGTCGAACTCTGCGCAGGGAATTAGCAACTGCAGGCAAGAGAAAGGACAATGGCGCAGACCTACCCAGGAATTCATGTCCGAACCGCCCAGAGTGACCTGAGCTGCGGAACTGTCAGCAGCGGAGGAAACCTGGGCCTTGCACAGAATGATCTTACTAGTAGCGGAGATAGAACGGCTCGTTCTGATTCGACATGGTCAACAGTACCTAAGGGTGGTGGTAGGAAATGCGTCGAAGAGCAAGTCGAACAATACCGGCGACGGAGGTTTGCAGGGTTGGGCCGGGCGGGCTTAGTCATCCACACACTCCGGACAGCTTGCGCTCCGCCGCGCAAATGGCCAGGCTGGTTTGGTCCTCCAAGTCCCCCCGGATTGTTCTACATTTGCGCTGATGAATGAAAGGCCGGTGAGGGGAGTCGAATTGAATCAATCTAGTCACCTGTCCTCTGTATCCTCGACAAAGAGAGTCTCACTGGTTCGTTCTCCCCCGTCTCCTCGGCCCTCCTCCCCTGACTCGGCGGGCCAAACAGTTGTTGTATTGACCACATTTAGCCCTCCTTCCTCCTTATCCCACCCTTCTCCCCCGTCACGGCCGCTGCCCACCCCTGGTCACCATGGCCTCGTTCTTAGAAAATGCGTACAGTTTGATCCATTTGGACAACACTGCGGATCAGCCCACCCTGCAGGAGCTGAAATTGCAGCTGGAGAAGGGCACCGATGAGACGAAGTTGGACACAATGAGACAGATCATTACGATCATGCTCAATGGAGATCCCCTGTCTCAACTCCTGATGCACATCATTCGCTTTGTGATGCCGTCGCGGAGCAAGCCTCTCAAGAAACTGCTATATTTCTACTACGAAATCTGTCCCAAACTCGACGCGAATGGCAAGCTCAAGCAAGAGATGATCCTGGTGTGGTAAGTACCCATCTATTTTCCTGCTTGCTCCCCGCCGTTGCCTACTGGCTATCCAAATTGACCGTCTAATCCGTGTGCAGTAACGGCATCCGTAATGACCTTCAGCATCCCAACGAGTACGTTCGAGGCAACACACTTCGCTTCCTCTGCAAGCTCCGAGAACCGGAACTCATCGAACCCCTCCTTTCGTCCGCACGCTCGTGCTTGGAACACCGCCATGCCTACGTGAGAAAGAACGCTGTCTGGGCCGTCGCCTCGATCTTCCAACATTCGGAATCCCTTATCCCGGACGCCCCCGAACTCATCCAAACATTCCTCGACACCGAGACCGACGGCACCTGCAAGCGCAATGCATTTGCGGCTCTGATGTCTATCAGCCACCAGAAGGCCATGGAATACCTGGCTTCGACATTTGACAGTATTCCGAACACTGATGAACTCCTTCAGCTGGTTGAGCTTGAATTCATCCGCAAGGATGCGGTCCAGAACACGCAGAACAAGGTAGGTTTGGGCGGAGAGGACTTTGGTCGGCTGTATGGCCCGCTAACGGTCGACAGGCGAGATACTTGCGATTGATCTTCGATCTTCTTGATGCGTCGACGAGCACCGTCATTTACGAGGCTGCGACGTCCCTCACGGCACTCACCAGCAACCCCGTTGCTGTGAAGGCTGCGGCGGGCAAATTGATTGAACTTTGCATTCGGGAGGCCGACAACAATGTCAAGTTGATTGTTCTCGATCGGGTTGATCAACTACGAATTCGCAATGAGGGTGTTCTTGATGATCTCACCATGGAGATCCTGCGTGTTCTCTCGAGTCCGGATATCGACGTGCGACGCAAGGCCCTGAGCATTGCACTGGAAATGGTCACCAGCAAGAATGTAGAAGAGATCGTCATGCTCCTCAAGAAGGAACTTGCAAAGACGGTTGATGAGCAGTATGAAAAGGTAGGCATACCGCTATGCTTGGGTTATGGGCTCATGCTGACGACCGTTACAGAACAGCGAATATCGTCAAATCATTATCCAATCTATTCACACCTGCGCCATCAAGTTCTCGGAGATTGCTGCTAGCGTCGTCGACCTTCTCATGGATTTCATTGCGGACTTTAACAACAACTCGGCCGTCGACGTTATCTCTTTCGTCAAGGAGGTCGTGGAGAAATTCCCGGGGTTGCGAGCCTCTATCGTCGACCGCTTGGTGTCGACTTTGAGTGAGGTCCGTGCCGGCAAGGTCTACCGTGGAGTTCTGTGGGTCGTCGGAGAGTACTCCCTGGAGGAGAAGGATATTCGTGAGGCTTGGAAGCGTATCAGAGCCAGCCTGGGCGAAATCCCCATTCTGGCCTCGGAGCAGCGTCTGCTCGAAGAAGTTCCCGACGAGCATGTGTTCCAAGAACAGATCAACGGCCATGCTAAGTCATCGGCGCCCTCGGGATCGCGAAAGGTCCTGGCCGACGGTACTTATGCGACTGAGAATGCCCTGACTAGCCAGTCTGCGGCGGCCGCCAGGCTCGAGGCCGTCAAGGCTGCCCAAAAACCTCCTCTCCGTCAACTCATCCTGGACGGCGATTTCTACTTGGCTACGGTTCTCTCCTCCACACTGACCAAGCTGGTGATGCGCCACTCCGAGGTTTCTGAAGATGCCGCTCGCACTAACGCTCTGCGTGCGGAAGCGATGCTGATCATGATCTCGATCATCCGTGTTGGCCAGTCTCACTTCGTCAAGGCCCCCATCGACGAAGACTCCGTGGACCGTATCATGTGCTGCGTGCGCTCTCTCGCCGAATTCTCGCAGAAGAAGGATCTGGAGACCTCCTTCCTGGAAGACACGCGGAAAGCATTCCGTGCGATGGTCCAGGTTGAGGACAAGAAACGGGAGGCAAAGGAAGCCTCCGAAAAGGCCAAGAGCGCCGTTCAAATCGACGACGCCATCCCGATTCGCCAGTTCACCAAGAAGAACGAAGCTGAGGGTGCAGAGGAGATCGAGCTTGACCTCGCCAAGGCCACCGGCGGTGACTCGACAGTGGAAACTGCTGCTTCGAAACTGAGCCGGGTGGTGCAACTGACTGGCTTTTCGGATCCCGTCTACGCCGAAGCCTACGTTACCGTCCACCAGTTTGACATCGTACTTGATGTGCTTCTGGTCAACCAGACCCTGGAGACCCTGCAGAACCTGTCGGTCGAGTTCGCCACTCTCGGAGATCTGAAAGTCGTCGAGCGACCGGCTACGCACAACCTCGGACCCCGCGACTTCTTGAACGTGCAGGCTACGATCAAGGTGTCGTCGACGGATACCGGGGTGATATTCGGTAACATCGTGTATGACGGCGCCAGCTCGACGGAAACGCACGTTGTCATCCTGAACGACATTCATGCCGACATCATGGACTACATCCAGCCCGCCCACTGCACCGAGACCCAGTTCCGCACGATGTGGACCGAATTCGAGTGGGAGAACAAGGTGAACATCAACTCCAAGGCGAAGGATCTTCGCGAATTCCTCAAGCAGCTCATGGAGAGCACCAATATGGCCTGCTTGACACCGGACGCCTCGCTGAAGGGCGATTGCCGCTTCTTGAGTGCTAACCTATATGCCCAGAGTGTATTTGGTAAGTGCCGACTCCCCGTGTGGGCGCCTATACTTTGACTGGAACAAATTGCTAACCTGAGACAGGCGAGGACGCTTTGGCGAACCTGAGCATCGAGAAGGAGGGCGATGATGGGCCGATCACCGGTTTTGTGCGGATAAGAAGTCGGTCGCAGGGACTGGCGCTGAGCCTGGGATCCCTCAAGGGCCTCAAGGCTACGACCGCGTAAACCTCCTTCTCTTCCTGAATAGTGACTAACCTAAGTACCCCTATCATATTCTCTTACATTACTTATTCTACTTGATCCGCGACTGTTTCTGATGAATGAATTTGTTGACTATACGCTTTCATTTTTTTGTGTGTTATACTGGATGAGAAAAAGACTCTTTTTCAATTGAAGCCTTACAGTTTAATAGACCCTGTCTCTTCCGTTTTGTATTGTTTCTAGTCTAGATGTATTTCAATTCGATGAATGATGGACCTCTGCTTCTGTCCGCGGCTCAGCAACCCCACAGCTCCGCGGATCGCGGTGTCTCCGCTGTCGATCTAGTGTGGTCGCATCTTGAATGCAACGGTTGTCCGGGTGGAATAGACTTGAATGCTTGAAGAGAAGAAGTCGGCGATCATTCTTGTGAGGAGGCAAGAGTCGGTTTCAACGCGATGGTGGAGGATGCATGCGGAAGGCCCCGAGAATGGGCTGGGAATGGGCTGGGAATGCCGCCTGGTCCGGGGACGCTGTAGGCTTGTACTCCGTAGCACCTTAACTGCTCAAAGCTTTGACTCGGGGGTCTGGCAATAAATTATCAGCAATGGGTCGCCAAACTCCCAGACCCAATGTCGACCAATTTAGAGGCACAAAGACTGGGGAAAGTGGAACCGATTCCCATGCATCGAAGCGAACCAGAAATGCGCCTTAATTAATCTCGTGATGGCGTTCATAAGCCAATTCACAAAAATTAGTCTTCCGTCCGTCCTTCTCTCCCTCCTTTCCACGCTCCATCCTCTCCCCCCGTCATCCCTCTTCTTGATCATCCTCTCCTTGGGCTCCTGTTCGATTCTCTTTGTGCGGTGGCTGTACGATGCTCTCTGTCCCCTCGAGAACAACATGACCTCGCCCACCAATGACGCAGCGCGTCCGTCCTTCAACAATGCGGATCAGCCGGATTCCCAACACCAATTGCTGCAGCACGACTCGACTCTGACGGTAGCACAGTCCGTCTCCCTCACCTTGGGGAGCGACTCTCTTCTCGTCGCCGGTATGTTACCGTTAGCCAATGGCTGTCACCACGCTGGCAGGCTCCCCTTTCTAACCAAAACCGTTGCTTTTCTAGATGAGCGCTCCTCCACGCGTACTTCGAGTCGCGCATGCTGCGGTTTATTACCCAAGTCGTGTATGCTTGATTGATTTTTCTTTTTTAATCCATTCTTGTTTTCCTTGCGATGGATGTCCGCGCTGTCCGACAAGGTAATTCGGAATTGCTGACCCTTTCGTCCGCCACTCAGCAACCAAGGATACCCTTGCCATCTCGTTCTATAATATACTAGACGCCGACATCTCCCCGGCCGGCTTGACCATCACCTATGCGGAGCATGCAATCAAAGAGGACGTCTCCGTGACTGCGCTTCAGTACCCGATCGCCGAGGAGGAAAAGGCAAATGTCGAAGCCTGGATCGCCCGATTGCTGGACCTGGCATATGGAAATGCGCAACGATACAAGAGGCTCAAGGTTCTCGTCAATCCCTTCGGAGGCAAAGGAGGCGCCGTGAAATTGTATCAGAATCATGCGGCTTCCATCTTTGCCGCGGCCCGCTGCAAGGTGGATGTTCAGGAAACGACGCACTCGGGCCACGCCGGCGAGATCTCAGAGAATATCGACATTGATGCCTTCGATGCGATCGTCTGTTGTTCCGGTGATGGTCTTCCATACGAGGTCTTCAATGGTTTGGCAAAGAAGCCAAATGCCGGCGAGGCCCTGAACAAGGTGGCTGTTGCATTGATACCGTGTGGCTCGGGAAATGCAATGACCTGGAACCTCTGCGGAACGGGCAGCGTGTCTGTGGCGGCATTGGCCATCGTCAAGGGATTGCGAACACCGATGGACCTTACCTCAATCACACAAGGACATAATCGCATTCTGTCGTTCCTGTCGCAGTCTTTCGGCATCATCGCCGAGTGTGACCTGGGAACCGACAACATTCGATGGATGGGCGCTCATCGATTTACGTACGGCTTCCTTGTCCGGGTCGTGAAGAGCACCGTTTGGCCGTGCGATCTTGCCGTCAAAGTGGAAATCGATGACAAAAAGGCCATCAAGGACCACTACAACACATACGCGAATAGTGTCCCTCCACTCCGATCCCCTGAAGAGACTGCTGGACGGTCCGGGGGCCTTCCCGACCTGAAGTACGGCACTGTACAGGATGATCTCCCTGAAGATTGGGAGGTAATTCCGTCCGAGACGCTAGGCAACTTCTACGCAGGGAATATGGCTATCATGTCTAAAGACACTAACTTCTTCCCGGCCTCGTTGCCCAATGATGGATTGATGGACATTGTTACCATCGACGGAACCCTCGGAGTTGCCAAGTCCCTCAAAATGATGACGGCGATTCCTGAGGGGGACTTCTTCGATATGCCGGAAGTCAACGTCCGTAAGGCGACCGCGTATCGTCTCGTTCCTCGCGAAAAAGAAGGATATATCAGCGTGGATGGCGAGCGGATCCCCTTTGAGGCGTTCCAGGTTGAAATTCACAAAGGCTTAGGCACGGTCCTGTCAAAGTCGGGACACCTCTACGAGGCAGAGGGACCCAAGCCGTGATATGAAAAGGTATACCTATTCGGATCTTGCGACAGAGATAGAGTAGAAAGGGGAAACCGAGGCCCCGAATTTTTGGGTGTGTTTATATAGATAGCTACTGATGAGTCTTCGCACTCTTTGATACCCTCGCGCAAGCCTATTCCTATCAAGCACTGGCCTGTTTTGTATGTACAGTTGAATTGACGATTTTGTTATAAACACCATTGATGTTATGTCTTTGCATGTGTACAGTTTCACAGCCATGGCAAGCACAGTTCAGCCTTCATAATCATTGTCTATAAGATGCCATTCCGCGATAAAATGTATTTTTTGGGCTAGATATACAGCCGGTCCCCCGGACGCCTTGAGAAATCTCAATTAATCATCGAAGCCACCCCACTCGATCTCACTCTCCTCGTCATCATCGTCCTCCTGAACGGGGCGGGTCTTGAAGCCCCATTCCACCAACCGGTCATCATTCAGCGTCTCCGTCGCCCTCGTTCTCACCGGCTTGTACGGGCAATCCGTCCGCAACTTCTCAATAGGCCGCAGCAACAGGTCCATGGGGACATCTCCCTTGGGTTTCCTCTCCTTAGGCTCCTCCTCATCATCAGCCTCCTCGTCAAACTCCAACACCTTCTCCACCTCATCAATCCAGATATCCATAATATGATAACGCAACCCATCCGGACCATGCGGCATAGGCACGTAATCCTTCTTCTCGTCCGCAGCTGGCTGGTCCGGATCAAAGTTGATCGGACAGAGCGGGCCCTCCTCGATAATCGACAAGTAGGACTCAAGATCCGCCCATTTACCCTGTGCGCTGCCGTTCGCCGTGCCGTCCTCCTCCTCCTCTTCCTCTTCTTCATCCGCAGCCTGGGCCTTCTTCTTCCCCTTCGACCGCTTGTTCTTCTCCTTCTTGCCGCCGGCGTCCTGGCGCTTCCGCTTCTTGTTCGTCTCCTCGGTCTGCGTCTGCGTCTTAGCGCCCTTGACGAAGACCTCGAATGCGACGCCCACGTAGCATCGGATCAGGAAGAGGTATTTGTCGAGACGCAGGCGGTCCAGAGAGTGGAAGTCGCGACCGATGGTGATCCAGAAGGCGCGCAGGAAGCGATGCAGCGTGGTTCGCGGCAGGGTCGGGACGATTCCGTACGAGAGGTTCCGGGCAAGAGCTTGCTGTGTGAGAGGGCGGTCGGAGTGGTAGAAGCCTAAACATAGAAGAAGAGTGGTTAGTTAGTTGTATTTGTTCAAAGAATCCCGCACTCAAGCCTTGTCTGTCTGTCTTTCTCGGTCTTGTCGCGCCGGGGGGGAGGCTAGTACTAGTACTAGGTGATCTGGGGCTGATGAGACGAGGAGTAGACGTACAGAAGAATAGACCCTTCCATAGTTTCAAGAGGTCGAGGAGAGATAGGTCGGTTTTGGAGCGCAGGAAGAGAGTCAGGGACTCGGTGGCTTTGTCGCGAGTGCGTCGGTCTGTGATAGACAGGGACATTACATTGTCAGTTTATCGATTGTATGTAGGCGCTATCGTGCATGCAATAGGTGGGAGGGAAAACATACCGCTTGAGGCGAGCTCCCTGACAAAGGGAGTTTTTTGTAAATCCGCCATGATGTTTCGTAGAAACTAGCTATGCGTTTGGGTTTTTTTTTTTTTTTACCCGGTTTATAATTGGGCTGATACCAGTCGCAGGGCAGACCAGATAGGAAATTCGTGTGCGATAGTGTGTGATATCGCTGATATTATTTCATCCGGTTTTAAGATTTCCTACTGCGAATGTAGGTGTTGGCGTTTTCAATTTCAGAGATCCATGAAGTGCTATCGCGATTGCGGCCATAGTCTTTTTTTTTTTTGAAAGTTGTTTGCGCTGTTTGCTTTGCTTTTATGCCTGGGGCACCACTACTGCCGTTCTTGGTTAGACTTAGTTGGCCGAAAAGGTGCGAGTGGGGCATCACAGACAAGCTGAGTCAGCCAGGCACGTTTCCTTCAACAGATCCATCTTAACATGACGGATGATTCAATTAGGATATTTACTACTTACTCCCTTGGGGATGTTCTGGAAGAGTCTTTTTTTCAAAAATGAGGAGGCATTCACAGTAAGTGGATTGGTTTTGTGCGATGAATTTTCATGAAAGAATACCCATGTAGGTAGATATAAAAGATAAACAACAAGAGATAAACATGATTAACATGTCCTAGTATCCGGGATCCCCTGGGTTATGAGCCCAGTGCTCTTCCCCTAAGTTAACATGCTGGGAATCATTATAGAATGTTATATTGTTACATATAAAAAAATGTGTTCAGTATAGTTAGTTAAATAGATAGATCACCAGGGTACTCCGTAATGTCCACTATTGGTTGCCAAATCTATCATAAAGATCGGATGATAATATTTTTCCACTCTTTGTTTATACCTAGTTAAGTAGCAACCTACAGAGTAGGTCAGAATCTGCAGAAGGGGGGAGTACTCCCTGTGTTATGCATCAACAGTGTGTTGTGTCAACTCTCCATGGGTGGGTGCCCAGCTCTACTGCTGTTTTTTGGGGTTAATTTATATACTCAATTCACTAAAATAAAGTTTATTCACTCCTAGCATGTTAGCTCAGGGGAAGAGCGCCGGGCTCATAACCCGGAGGACCCACGATCGAAACGTGGACATGCTATTTTTTTGCATTTTGTTAACGAGGGTTAACTATTACTACTATACCTATGTACACCGGTACTGTTTGTCGCATATGCGCACCCAACCACCAATAACCTCAAGTTCCGCGGCCATCCATGCCAAGATTTGGTGTCTCATCGGGGCTAACGGGCTGACCCTGCCGTGGCGATCATGATGCAGACAGGCCCTTTCGATTCCATCTTGAATACGGAATACGGATGGAGCCAGCAGCGAGCACGGATTGGCCCGTGGTGGATGAATAGTAAGCGGATGTTTTTGCTCCCGAGGGCCCGTGCCGCAGCTTTCTCTCTGCCCTAAGGAAGTCCCCGTTCTCCGTCCTATGCTGTTCATAGTTCACAGATATCGGTTATCGGTACGATCAACCAGCGAAGAATGGTTTTGCATAACGATTTGCAGACGGGGTCGAGTTCCCGACTCCCCGATACTTCTCATTAGAGTGTCTTTAACGTTGTTGCTTCCGATGCCGAAGATCTAGAAACATTATGGACGGTTCTGCTTCTGTTCCGCATCCGGCAACATCCACATTCCTCCCATCCCTTTGTGGGATGTAACTTTCAGTCGGGCTGGAATCTGTCCCAGGCCAGCTGTCTCACTATCGATTCGGCTGGCTTGAAGCAAACCCGAGAGTTCAATCCCGTAGTTACACAAGGGAGATAGCCTGGCCGTCATGACATCACCACTCACGTATTAGGCGAATAGTATCCAGGGGCGCCCTGATGTTACTGATCGGGCTCCCTCGCTCTCGAATTTTTTTTAATCATCTCCTAATCTGCCTGTCATTTGTCGACGATCATCTCACATGATGTGGCGTGAGTAGGGCAGATGAAAAGCTAGATATTAACTAGCCATTGTCACGCCCTATTTCTGGCATTCTTTATTCTGGATTCGCCTTTTGCTTTTTCTTCGTGGCTGACACGCTCTCTTCCCCCCTCCCCTCCTTCTCCTGTGTTTACTCTGTCCCTTCCTCATCTTTCCGTGTCGGGGTTCATAGCGGGCTTTGGTGCCTCGGTTGATTGCCCACAATGGCTCAGGATGATGGGAACGATATCTCCTCCGGGTCTACCTCCAGCCATACCGCGCACGAGAATGACATCGTGGAAGAGCCTCCGGTTTCTCGACGACAGTCGCGAGTCGACCGCAATGGCAGTCAGGTCTTCGAGAATATGAGCCCGGAGGAAAGAGCAAATCTGACTCGCATCGCCTCGAATTTCCCAAAGCGCCGCGCAACTGATCTAGGCGCCGGTGGAACGACCCTCGAGCGGAAGGACACCATTGAAGAAATGGACGAGGACCATCCGGCGTTCGATCCTACCAGCGGACAATTTGACCAGCGAAAATGGGTCCGCAAGATACTGCGGCTCTTGGATCGGGAGGGCCTTTCGCGTCCGGCTTCCACCGGTGTTGCCTTTCAGAATCTCAACGTCTCCGGGTCTGGGTCTGCGTTGCAGTATCAGAGCAGTGTGAGCTCGATGCTGATGACCCCACTCCGTCCCCAGGAATACCTCAGTTTTGCTCGACGATCTCCTGAAAAGCATATCCTGCGCAACTTCGACGGTCTTCTTCAGAGTGGTGAGCTACTCATCGTCTTGGGTAGGCCGGGTAGCGGCTGCTCGACGTTGCTCAAGACCCTCTGTGGAGAATTACATGGGCTGAAGCTTCGAAAGAGCTCAGAAATTCAATACAATGGTATCTCGATGGAAAGGATGCATAAAGAGTTCAAGGGCGAAGTGCTGTACAACCAGGAAGTGGATAAGCATTTCCCGCATCTGACGGTTGGTCAAACGCTGGAATTTGCTGCTGCTGCGAGAACGCCCGAGGTTCGATTGAATGGCATTGGGCGACAGCAGTACGCCAAGTATATCTCGCAAGTTGTCATGACCATTTTCGGGCTGTCCCATACGTACAACACCAAGGGTATGTATACTGTTCTATTACGGGTGAAATTGGCAATTCTAACGTTGAATGCAGTTGGGGATGACTACATCAGAGGTGTCTCCGGAGGTGAACGCAAGCGAGTTAGGTCAGTACCGTACGCCATGCCCTCGACGTCGCTAATTAGCTAACTTGATTCAGTATTGCCGAGATGGCACGTAAGTTACTCGACCGTACGAAATGGCGGCTTTGAGCTGAGCTAACGACCACCAGTTTCTGGGGCGCCTCTCGCAGCGTGGGACAACAGTACTCGGGGTCTTGATTCCGCAAGTGCCCTGGAATTTGTCAAGGCCTTACGGGTTTCGTCTGATCTGGCTGGAACCTGTCACGCCGTTGCCATATACCAGGCCTCACAGGCTATCTACGATATCTTTGACAAAGCCATTGTTCTGTATGAAGGCCGCCAAA